TTGTCCTTTTAATCTCATCAAGATTTCTACTACTCCCTCCTCCTCCTACTCTGTTACTTTCTACTCTTACCCTACTATCAATATTAATGCATTCTCATCATTGGTCATTCGACTTATTCACTATTCTTGGTATTTCAATGTCTACCGCTTCAACCAATATTTTGCCAATAATCTAAAATCATTTGTTTTGTTATCCTTTTTTACATACACCTTTTTTACATGAGTCCACAGCTGAGTCTAATTTTAAAACAATGTTTAGTAAACATATGACACTTGTAAAGTATTTTATCTAAGAACTTTCAGCCATTTAAATTCTTATAAAAACCAATCAGGTGGGTATATCCACCTCAAGAAGAACTTAAAGCATTACACAAGTTTGTGATCCCTAAACTGGACCACAACATCCTTCTACTCGGGGGGGGGGGTGCTCTCCATGAAGAAAGCAACTGCCATGTTGTGAAAAAGGTCTGACTCTCCCCTACAGAGGAGAGGCTTGCAGGGAGAAAATGGAGGTCACCAGCCCACAGCTAGTTATCAACCTCCAGACGTGTGAGTGAGCAAACAAGCCTGATACAAATGATTGTAGCTTTGAGCCTCTGAGATGTCTAGCTAAAGCCTCAGACATCATGAAGCAAAGATGAGCCTTTGCTTTAATAACGAGTTTATTGCTAATCTAATGAATAACTTTCATGTATTCATTATACTTGATTCTTTCACATTTTTTACATAATTGACCAATCCACCATATTTAAATTTTATCTTCATTTGAGATACACACACACACACAGACACACACACAGACACATACTATATATATAGATAGATACACACACTATATATACAATATGTGTGTATACACACACAAACACATATACACACACTACATGCTCTAATCTTTACTCTTATTCCTTCTTGTCAGCTTTTATCAGTCACTACTGAGAGCTCCTCTACTCATTCCTTTCTTGGGTGCTCTGTCCTAGGCCCTGTCTGGACTAGTGGTCCTCAAACTGGAATATGCAGCTGAGAACTATCCCTCTGTGGTCCCCGTTCACTTCCATGGCTTCAGTGATTTCCTATATGCCAATATCTCCTAAATATGTATGTGTGTGTGTGTGTATAAGAGATTTCTTATGTGCTTCTGAAAACATATCAAAACCATTAACCAAACATAAGAAAATACCATCTTGAAGGTTTCAAAGCTACCTCTAACTTGACATGCACCAAAAAGAATACATCATCTCCCTTATCACATCTGTTCCTTCTGTTTTCTTTATTTATGCAAATAAGAACAATATCCAATGTACATAATCTCCTAATTCAGAAACCTAGGATATAACTTCGTTTCCTTTTTCTCCTTCAGTACTGACCCTTGCACCACTATATAGTTAATTAAGTTCTGGGACCAGCAATTGGTGTAATGCCTATGTTGCTGGACTCCCATGTAGTCGAACGTGGTTTGAGTTCTGGACTGGGTAACTTAAACTCACACCGGGCATGTGTACATGCGTGCCCAAGATCCTGAGAGGAGAATGGAGGAGAAGGGATTATGGCGTGGCCATCCCCCCTGGAGGGTGATTTCTCGCTTTTTGTCTCTCTGTATTTCTGGTGAGTGCATGCGCTCTATAGCAAAAACCTCTCCAAAAGAAAAAAAAAAGTTCTATTGGTTTAATGTCAATATCCTTCTCTTTAGTCTCAAGGACACCTTACCTTTGCATGAGCTACATCAACTTTTACTTAGTTATTATGATAGTCTTCTAATGAGTCTCACTTTTCACCTGGCCTTTCTTCAATCTATTCTGCATACTGTAACTAGAATATTTCTATAGTAAAAATTTCAATGTGCCCTTCCCAATTTAATATCTTTAAGTAGCTGATCATTTTCCCTAAGGATAAGTTCAAACTCTTGATAACAACAAATATATCTTAAGCCTTAATTTTTGTCAGCGCCCCTCTGCATAGATAGCTTGATTTCTCTCTCACTTCTTAGTCTGAAATTCAGCCATAATTAATGTTGCTTTTCCTCCTCCCTCTTCTGCACCAACCCCTTTACATAGTTGATTTTATCTGGACTCCCATGTAGTCGAACGTGGTTTGAGTTCTGGACTGGGTAACTTAAACTCACACCGGGCATGTGTACATGCGTGCCCAAGATCCTGAGAGGAGAATGGAGGAGAAGGGATTATGGCGTGGCCATCCCCCCTGGAGGGTGATTTCTCGCTTTTTGTCTCTCTGTATTTCTGGTGAGTGCATGCGCTCTATAGCAAAAACCTCTCCAAAAGAAAAAAAAAAGTTCTATTGGTTTAATGTCAATATCCTTCTCTTTAGTCTCAAGGACACCTTACCTTTGCATGAGCTACATCAACTTTTACTTAGTTATTATGATAGTCTTCTAATGAGTCTCACTTTTCACCTGGCCTTTCTTCAATCTATTCTGCATACTGTAACTAGAATATTTCTATAGTAAAAATTTCAATGTGCCCTTCCCAATTTAATATCTTTAAGTAGCTGATCATTTTCCCTAAGGATAAGTTCAAACTCTTGATAACAACAAATATATCTTAAGCCTTAATTTTTGTCAGCGCCCCTCTGCATAGATAGCTTGATTTCTCTCTCACTTCTTAGTCTGAAATTCAGCCATAATTAATGTTGCTTTTCCTCCTCCCTCTTCTGCACCAACCCCTTTACATAGTTGATTTTATTTCTGTTTATACAGTACCCATTCAAACAGTCACCTTTGCCATATTGAGCTTCTTTTTTGAATGTTTTTGCGATACAGCACATGTATTTGCTGGAGAGATACAGTGAGAGGGAAAGTGAGCAATCATTCCCCAGGGGAATGGCCATGCCGCAATCCTTTTTTCTAAATTTTCTTTCTTGAATTTTGGGCATGTGCGCACATGCACCTGGTGTGAGTTTCAAGCCTCCAGGTTTGGGACTTGAAGCACAGTTGACCATGCGGAAATCCAGTGCCTAAAATGCTACCTGCTGGCCCCCATACTGTGATCTTTATCTCTCTGATTTCATAGCAGTGTGTATTTATTATTTTTAAATTTTGCTTTAGGGTGCGTGCACTCACCAGAGACAGAGAGAGAGGAAAGTGAGAAAGCGCCCCGGTTGGGGGGAGGGAATGGCCACTTCTTTTAGAATTTTGGGCATGCGTGCACAAGTTCCCAGTGTGTTTTTCAAGCCATCAGATCTGGAACTTGAACCTCACAGTTAAGTGGGATCCAGCCGCCTCAATCAGCACACCGTCTGCTGACACCCTACCCATCATTGTTATTCCCTGTTTACACATCTGAGCTCCACTAGCCTTGATGGTCCGGACTCTCTCACCACTGTAAACTCAGTGCCTAGCACATTCTACTTAAATAAATAATGTGGACTAAATATTTGCTGAATTAATGATTAATGAAGGGACTAAAAGTATCTGTGACAAATACATAGTAATAGTTCATCTTAGCCAGAGCCCTAGATATAGAAAGGAAAAGGGAAAATAATGCTTACAAAAGTTTAAGGGATAGATTAGAGGTGAGGAAGTGGAGATTAAGAGTCTAGCCAAAACTTTGATTCCTTAACAGAAAGACTGAAGTATAATGGAAGGTCCATTAGCAAGTAAAATGTAACAGATTATTGAGAGTCATAAAAATGAAGGCAGAAGTGTCACGCATCTCCATTGTAACACTTACGTCTCCTGCTCAACACATGTGCCAAGTTTGTAAGAGACTACCTGTCCCCTTTCTAGTTCATTCTCTATGATGTCTCAAATAGGGAGTTCAATAAGTATTATTATAGTCTATTTGTTTCCTTTCTTAATTTTTTTTGCCATAGGGCATATGTGCTGGCCAGAGAGCAAAAAAAAAAAAACAGAAAAAAGGAAAATGAGAAATTACCCCTTAGGGCTGGCCATATCACAATCCCTTTTCCATCTCTTCCTGGGATTTTAGGTATGTAAACACACACACCCAGCATGAGTTTCCAGCTACTGGATCCAGGACTTGAACTGTGGTTGGCCATATGGGAGTCCAGCACTATAACCACTACACCATTTGCTGGGCCCCAATACTATTCTATTCTTAAACAGTGAGAGCCAAAGAATCAATCATGAAAGTTTTAAGAGTATGGCAGATTGAACATTGACTAACTAAGCAAAAATGTTCTTTGGAATATAATAGAATTATAAGTTACATCATTGAACGATTATATTTCAAGTGAAAAACAAAATTATCTCTTATCAGTCTTACAGTAACTATAATCCTTTTACTGTCAATGATTTTTTGATAAATATTTTTAATACATGAAGTAATGTCTCCGAACAGAGAACAAGTTCTAACGTCTCTTACTCAAGTAAATAATTTAACAATCCCTTCTCTGGGAGTGAGTAGTTTCATCCCAGTCAGGTTGTTTCTTAGAAAGTCAGAGTTTGTGGAGGAAATGTGATCCTGAGGTGTCTTGTGAGCCTCACCTCTGACATTCATTTTTGCCTTTGTTGATAAAATTCAACTTACTTCAAAAGACTGAACTATTATTACTGGACACATGCTATGTTTGAGATCCTCCAGGAGAGAGTAGAAAATACATTTGTCTAGGCATTGCTATGAGAACTCTTTAGATGATCTTTACCAATGTCAAATACAGAACCTTCTTTTCTTTCCTTTTTTTTTTTTTTTTTTTAGAGATTTTTGCTATAGGGCACATGTACTCACCAGAGATATAAAGAGAGATAGACAAAAAGTGAGAAATTGTCCCCCAGGATGGCCATGCCACAATCCCTTCTCCTCCATTCTCCTCTTGGGATTTTGGGCTCACATGAACACGCGCTTGGTGTGAGTTTCAAGCCATGGGGTCTGGGACTTGAACTGTGGTCGACTACATTGGCGTCCAGTGACATAACCACTATACCATCTGTTGGCCCTGATATAGAACCTTCTTAACCAAATGCATGGCATTTGAAATATTGCATTCCTTTAAAAAAAATAATAAAATGCACTTTTTCTCCTTACCTTGTTGTACAAAGGATCCATACACAAACCACATGGAGTTGTAGAGAGTAGTAGACGTCATTGATCCCATTTGCAATCGTGGGGGATTAAGCCAGTTCAAGAGGTAGACCAGTAGGCCCACTAGAAGGACGGTACCAGCAATGCAAGCCCATAGGGAGAGATCAAACGGTGCAAGACAGGCAAACATATCCACCGTCTTTTCAGCCCTTCGAAGCAGTACCCCCACTGAGTAGTCCATGTACCGTGTTGTAAAGTCCACCACATTTTCACGATCTGGAGTGATGGTTAAAGCAGAAATCCCTATGTCGGCTCTCTGAGAAATTGAAAGAGAAAGGAATACATTAAGGGTGTGAAAAACAATTTGATTTGTGGCACTTCAGCTTGCCTTGAGGAAAAAAAAATAGATGCCTCAGGCAACATCTTAAGGCTTTTTATATAAACTGAAAAACACTGCAGAGACTTCTAACAGAAGAGCTATGTGTGAATTTTGCATTTCTTACTGCAATCTTGCCCTACCAGCGTCAGACAAATTACCTTGTTCATATTATCAGTGCATGTGAAATCAGTGAAGAATATTTCAGACATAGATAACACCAGAAGAAAATTGTCCTTTTTCCTTGGGTCATTTTATCAAAGCCATCATTAACATAGTAGCAAAGGAAAAACTTACACTAATGAATTCTTTCTAGGAACATGGTCTCAAGATAATCACCATAATCTTTTTTCTTTTTCTTTCTTTCTTTCTTTCTTTCTTTCTTTCTTTCTTTCTTTCTTTCTTTCTTTCTTTCTTTCTTTTTTCTTTTTTTTGTATGAGAGAGGAGAAAAAGGAAAGAGGGCAGAGGCAGAAATCGGTCTCATTGACAGAGTCTGGCAGCTATGCAAACATCCTGCCCAGCTTCCCGATCAGCTAAGAGTACAGATGTGCTATTACAGTTGGTGTGTTCAGGCTGTCTGGGGAACGAAACTCGGGCATCCCATGTGGTTCTCAGCCTCCAAATGATGGCAACATCTGTGTCTCTCCATAGTTGGGTTTCAAGATGTTTGTTCTTCCCATGTGATTCATTAGGTATGTTATTAATACTTCAACATGGCATTTTACCTTTGATTTAAATTTCTCTGAATCAAAATTTATGTTCCTGGTTTCTGAGTGTACCAGCATTGTGGGTCAGCCTGTGGTGTGGTGGTTAAGGTGGCTGGATCCATGTGACTGACTGCACAGTTCACGTCCCAGACCTGGTAGCTTAAGAAACATGTTGGAAAGGAGAGAGAAACGGGAAAGAAGGGGTTGTGGTATGACCGCACCCCAGGGGGTATACTTTCTCACTTTTGTGTCTCTGGTGAGCACATGTGCCCTCTGGCAAAATAAAAGCCAACCAACCAACCAACCAACCAACCAAACCATAGCAGAGTTTGTTAGAGCTTTCATAGCACTAAGTTATAATGCCAGAGGTCTCAATCATGATTAAATTCCATTGTATAATTTTTGGAAACATTTTTAAAAAACAATTGTAATAAACAAGTAAAGATTAAGGAGATACGTAATTATTCTTTTTCTCTGTGTGCTCCCTTAGTTCTCAGTGACATCTTCACCAACTATTACACATGCTGTTTTACTTTATAAAACCACAGAACTGGGGCCAGTAGGTGGTGTGGTGGTTAGGGTGCTGGACTCCCACATGGCTGACCATGGTTCAAGTCTCAGACCTGGTGGCTAGTGTTCTCACTTTCTCTTTCTCTCTATGGTCAAATATTAAAATAATAGCAAATAAAATTAAATAATCCTTTAAAAATAAAAGAACTACAGTAAGAGCACAGAATAGATGACTTCGCAGTTGAATCCTATGATATAAGAATACATATTTAAATACCTACAAGATGCATCTTACTTGAAATAATGACCAGTGGCTGTGATTAAAGCTGTGGGAAGCCCTTCCAGAGAAATATAACACTAATAAATTGTTGAACCCTTTCTTGTTCTTTTCCCCTCTTTTTAATTATTTTATGAAAAGGGATACAAAATTGTTTTATGCTTTGAGTGACCAAGAAAAACAAAGACACGTAAAGTGCCTAGTGAAATGCTAAACTCACTTGATGAATCTAGTCTCTGAAATAAGAATGCTCTTAAAAATATTCTAGCTAAAGTTAAGCAGAATATGTGTGTGCAACAAGCCCATATATTTTTGTTGGTTGGCCCAGTGCTAATTAGGTGAAAGAAAATTGTTAATGTAATCCTTAAAATGAGCTATGAATTACGTGTTTTTTGCTACATTTCATAGGTGGAGAAAGTAAAACTTAGAGTTTTAATAATTTGTGCAGTTTCCAATTAGTAAATACAGAAGCCAGATAATGAAGCTATGTTTTTCTTACTCTCAAGCTTATGCCCACAGCCATTTTACCAAACAGCAAGACATCACTCCATTTTCTAGAAGACCTATACTGTAGGTAGTCATGGTAACAGGCACAAAGAAAATGTTTACCTTAAAAATGTCAGATACTTTGCTTTTTAAAAATTGTACTATTTATGGGACCAGCAGTTGGCGTAATGGCTATGTCTCTGGACTCGCTTGTAGTTGACTGCAGTTCGAGTCCCGGACCCAATGGCTTAAACTTATACGGGGTGCGTGTGTGTGCGTGCATGCCCAAGATCCTGAGAGGAGAATGGAGGAGAAGGGATTGCGGCATGGCCATCCCCCCTGTGGGGTGATTCTTCACTTTCTGTCTCTCTGTCTCTCTCTGTCTTTCTGGCAAGCACATGCACCCTATAGTAAAAACCTCTCAAAAAAATTGTACTATTTATATTGCAACAGCAAAGGCATATTAATGTATGTTCATTGAATCCAGAATGATTAATTGAAAGGCATTAAACTGAATAACACTATATAAAAATTAACTTGCAGAAAAATAGTTGTTGCTTTCAAGTTTATGTGTGTATATATATACACACACACAAATTTATATTTATAGCTAGATGCTGAGAATTGAATCTTTCTGATTAAAAATCTAATCAAATCTCTAGCTCTCTAGTCCTGTCTTTTCTGAGCTTCAGTTCATCTGTTTGTAAAATGAACGTAACTGTTTAGTATCACTATTGCAAGCTCCCTCATCTGTCTTATCTTAATAGCGGATAAATAACTCTCCAAGATCTAATTAGGCTCTCAGAAGGTGCATTTACTTTTGCAGGACACTAAAGTATGATGGATCAGTAATTTACTAATTGATGCACTCGTGACCCAAAGCATTTGATGACTTGCCCAAAGTCAGAAAGTTCCACCAAAGAAGAAATTTACTAACAACTGGCAGATTGAATATTTGTAAAATGTTAATATTTTAATACTAAATAATTATTTCACATTTAGATATTATGAACTGGAATGGACACTCTAATGGATACTTTTAAGTATCAGAAAGTAAATTTCTGTAATGAAATAAAAGTATTTAGAGACGTATTTACTTATTTATTTAGGAAAGCAGAACTGTTGTTTTCCATGTCTAAAATACTTTAGAAAAATTTGCCAGTGGGTACATGTACTTATCTGAGTGAGAGAGAGAGAGAGGGAGAGGGAAAGGGAGAGGGAGAGGGAGAGGGAGAGGGAGAGGGAGAGAGGGAGAGAGAGAGAGAGAGAGAGAGAGAGCCCTCCAATGGGGCATGGTCATTCCACAACCATTTGTCCTCCATTTCTCTACCCTGTTGTGATTTTAGGCATGTGCACACATGTGCCTGGTATGGTTTTCAAACCACCAAGGCCAGGATCCAAACCACAGTTGGCCATGTGTAATCCAACTTTCTACATACAGTACTTAACTACTGTGCTATGGGGTTGGTCCTAAAATATTTATTAAATATAACCATTACTTGTCATGTATCTATAGAGACATTCCTAAACTCTGATCTACTTTTAACACTTGGCTATTCTATTTTCAAGGTGAAATTGCCAGTTCCCCTGTGGAAGTCCCATAAAAATCACATGATGCACTTTTTCAAACTACTTACACAGAAACATATAATACATACACATAAATACACAGATTCCTGTTCTCTGAGCTTTCTGTACATCTTGCTAAAGAGATGTCTCACTCCATCCTTCAGAATCAGTGACCTAGCAGACCACTGTGATTGACATGAGTATGTGACAGTCTTTCCCTGCATCAGAAATGCTGTAGTGGAGGGATCAGCAGTTAGCATAATGGCTATGTCTCTGGACTCCCATGTAGTTGACCGCGGTTCGTGTCCTGGACCCAGTGGCCTAAACTCACACTGGACATCTTTGCGTGTGTGCCGAAGGTCCCGAGAGGAGAATGGAGGAGAAGGGATTGCAGCGTGGCCATCCCCTCTGGGGGGTGATTTCTCACTGTCTCTATGTCTCTCTCTGTCTTTCTGGCGAGTGCATGCACCCTATAGCAAAAACCTCTCAAAAAAAAAAATGCTGTAGTAAAGTAGAAAAAAGGCAACATCCACTGATTTAGAAAGATGGCCCATTGTATGTCCCCACTTAAATATACTGAGTGTCCACACTCTGTAACTGAAACGGATTGTCTAAAGGATATAGAAACACAGTAAATGGGTGTAAATACCAGATATAGTGTATGTCAAAGAGTAGGGTCTGAGGAAGGACATTTAAAAGAAAAATAGGGAGGCAAAGCATTAATGTGACAAAGAAATGTGGTATTATCTGTTGAAGATATTTTATAGTTTTATCAACCAGACTAGGGAGAAATGTTCACATGTTGAAATATTCACTTTGTAAGCTAAATAATGTGATTGAATGTATAGAAGAAAATGAAACAAAAAAAAGTAAATTAAAAAAAAAAAAAAAGAAAGATGGCCCCAGGGCCAGCTGGTGGCATGGTGGTTAGGGCAGATGGATCCCACATGGCCAACCGTGTGGTTCAAATCTGGACCTACTGGCTTGAAAAAATGCCAGCTGCATGTGCCCAGCAGTGTGCCCATCCATCCTGGAGGGGTACTTTCTCTCTCGTTCTCTCTCTCTCTTTCTCTCTGGAGAGCACATATGTCCATAGCAAAAATTAAGAAAAAAAAGAAAGAATGAAAGCAAGCAAGTAAGCAAGCAGAACCAAGCCTTCCTGAATAACTACAAATATAATCAGAGTTTTTCCAAGAAAAATTTTCTCTTTCTTATCTTTTTTATTTGCTTAACTCACTTGTCTGCTCTCTCCGGTGATTTTTAAAAATTTTACCTTTATGAAACCAATAATTTTCCCCATAACTCTCAGAAGACAACTTCCATTGCTCTTTTATAGAGAAGATATAAGATTAAAATTCACTTATTTCTACCTCCCAACCTGTAGCCCATA